CGGGTACTCCGGTTTCCTCCCACAGGGAAAGTTGACAGGGTGGGTTAGGTAAAAAGGGCCCACAGTAATTGGCATATGCTGTTGTGGTGACCCTGCCCTAGTTGGCAAAGCTAAATAAAATAAAATAAAATAAATTTTCGTGTCTTATGCACTTCAAAGATCGTAATATAACTATAAATATATCCTGCGTTTGCATGGCTGGTTTAATTGGCTTATTTATACAGATATTTAATTTGTTTCCACTTTTGTATGATGACGCCAATATGTCTAATTAAAGATATAATAATTTTGCATTTGTTGAATGGTTTTTGGTAGATCAAAATATATAGGCCCTCTGGCATGACAGCAATAAATGCAATTATGTCGTTCTAAGCGTACATGGCATGCAGGTCTTGAAATTTTATACTCGAAATTTCCATGTAACAAATAGCCCTTGTACATTTATAGTTCTATCACGAGTGAGGTGTCCCATCAAAAATTGCAGTAATTTCAATTCCCTTCTTTGACGATATATAATAATGGAAATTACATTTCAGTATTCGGATTTTCGCTTATGTGCCTTTATTCTCAAACTGGAATGAAGAAATTATATCGCCCACAAGATTACCCTAACTTTCTTAATTGCAAAACATTGCCAAGTGTAACTTGTAATCTTGCACGAAAGTATTGCACCGGAACTCTTTGTATGCTCGCAAATAATCGGAACTCTTTCGTATGCTTTTATTCTGAAAATATAGAACAAAGAACAATTATCGGCCCACAGAATTGCCCCAATTTTCTGAATTGGAAAACAAATTATCTGCCCACAAAATTGCCCTAATTTTCTCAATTGGAAAACAAATTATCTGCACACAAAATTGCCCTAATTTTCTCAATTGGAAAACAATTGAAATTTGCGTTCTTGCACGCGAATATTGGATCTTAGCTTCTGTATGCAGCGATGTTTAACATTAAAGTACAAAAACTTGGACACTTTCAAAATGCTTTTGCAGTGAATCAATGCGGCAATTATATATAATACAAACGCTATTCTATATAATCAAATCCCGAATTGTGCTATTTTGTATAGAAGTGCATGCTGTATATTTAATATTAATTTTATAATACCTTTTGAAAAATAGCACCTCTTGCGTCACGAGATTTAACGACAGACCGTTTAATTCAGGGGCTCCCAAAACATCATAATTCTCATCTCAAATGTCCAAAGAAGAAAAGTGTGTTCGAATTTTATAAGTGGACATTTTGCGAACAGTTTTAGGAAATAATATTATTGAAAACTCTGTGCAGAATCTGCAGAATTTTAATCCATTATCCAATTTGCAGCTGACAATTTGAATAAGCCAGACATATATATAGTATTGCTCGCAGTGCGGTTCCCTGAGCAAGCGTAAATCGACGATTTACTTGTTCTTATAGACTTCGTCACACATTTTGTTGATCCATCTGCGCAAGCATCTATCACACAATAATAAGCCCGTATTTTAATAACCCCAGAAGCTTAACGCTCAGTGAAGCGTCTTGTTTAAAAAAGGCTTTGAAATAAAGTTTGTCTTGACTTTGATCATCGTCCGATTGGTCATCTCCGGACATCCTTGCGCTATTCACCTCCGGACCAAAACAAAATGTTTTCCCGTCTTGTTCCTGTTACCGCATTTTTACGAAATAATGCATAATGAACGAATTAGTGTTCTTTTGGCAAAAACCGAATGATTGTATCGTTCTTTCAACATTACATTAATGTACAAATGAAAAGAGAGCAACGTTCAAATTTCTACGGTCTGTAGTGAAATTCGAGTTTAAATTACAGTAATATGTCCCTTTTAAATCCGTACTGTATTTGTAAGTACGAATATATATGGTTCCTGTACAAAAGCTCAATAAGTTACAAGTAATTGATGCATAATATTGGGCATATAACCGGAAAAATCTGATATTATTCTGGCTATATTTCACCTTCCTTCAATCGTGACTAAACTTTATTAATTAATATATTTGTTAATTATATGCTGTTTAGATATAGATCGGGTCAGAAAAGGAACTTTTTCATTAATTTAATTGTATAGTTGAGAATATCGCAGGGCCTCTTTTAACATAAAGACTGGGGGGGGGGGACATGGCCCCCCAGCCCCCCTTACTGCCCCCCCAGTCGGCAATTTTGTCCCCCCCCAGTAGAAAGTCCCTTTTCAAATTTTTTGGTGTGAAAATAACTCCCAAAGTCAGTATTGGACAACATAATTAATCCTTATTCCAGTATTCCTTTCGCAGAATCTCTGCTATTCCTTTGCCTTCCCTTTCTGGACAATGAAAAATAGAAAAATAGTCAAATAGGAAATTTCGATCTGCAAAAAAATATTTTTCAAAGTGGGACTGGGAACGAAAGTGGGAACATTGGGATTTTTGGGGAAATCTCGGGATATTCGGGAAGCTTAGTTGGGAATTTCAAAAACATAATTTACATCAAAATTTACATGCAAATTGCTTGCCTTTGTTTGTACTATTAGTATTAAAAATGCCGTATGCAAATAAAAGAAAAGCGAATATTGAAAAACTGTTAAAACAAGAAGCGAGTAAATGCAAAAAGGTATCGGATTTCTTCACAAAGAACGAAAATGCAAGAACATTGTCATCGACATCGTGCGATACAAACGTTGAGAAGAAGTCAGAACAATTATTAAATATGGCGCCAATTGAAGTGGAAAGCGAAGTACAAGGCACTGCAGCTACTGGAGGCACTGACCAAGGAGAACCTCGTAAAGACAATGAACTGAATGAAGTGGATTTTGATATTCGAAATTCAGATAGGGAAGGTAATGTTCAATTTGTTCATATACGGGCTCCTTCGAATAATATTCCAAGCAATACTACACCTTCGACCTTATCGTCAACAAGCTCTGCAAATATAAACAGCATTACTTTGGTTACAACAAGTGACGTTGGTTTGCCAATAAGCACAGCAAACACATTGTCAACGCAAATGACTACTGAAACCACTACTGAGTATTACAGAGGCTACCCATTAAACCTAAAAGCACTTCTAGGAAAATTTGGAGATGGTGTACTATCTCAATATTATGAACGAAGTAGAGTTTCAACGCAGAATCGCCAGAAAGCGAGGGTTTTTGTCAAGTGTTGCATCTGTGGTGAATTCGAAGAGGAAGCAAAGCGCTTTTCAGCTAATGGTAGAGTGTACATGGCACAAGGTGTGCGTTGTGATGGGAAGAAAAAGATACAAGATGTAATTGATCATCTACTGGGGCCTTCACATAGAGCAGCTCAAGAAAAGAAACAGCTATCGAAGTTGTGGAATGCCAAAGACAAACGTCACCCATTTATTAACTTGGCAACAAAAAGTGATCCAACAGTTTTGAAGACCTTGACTGAAATGGCAGTAGAGGTCTATAATGACAGTAAATCTTTGACTTTAGCTGCCTGGTCATGGCCAGGTAGATCTATTGCTAATTTACATGCACAACAACAGTTTAGGTCTTTAACTGACAGTGACAACGTACAAAGTTTTACCCCGTTTAAACCAAGTGGAGAGGAACTTCATTATAGGGATCCAATGCATTATGCAGAAATGTTGGAGATAATAGGAGATACAGAGAGAAAGCACCTTAGAGAAGAACTCCAGAACTGTATTTGTTTTGCTGCACAAATGGATGGTTCTGTCGATGCTAGGCAACAAGATAAGAAATTTATATTTGTTCGATTCAATACACCCGAGGACCCTCTTTCTATTAAGACAAGATTTGCAAGTGCAAGGGAAAGTACCAAGCGTGGTGCTGAAGGTTTGTGTTCTGCCATGACAAACTGTTTTGATGACATGGGCCTTTCTAAAGAATGTTTGTAGTCAAAATTTGTTGGGATGAGCACCGATGGAGAGTCTGCAAACACTGGTAAGGATTCTGGACTGTGGGCTAGAGTTGAAAATTATGTTAGTCGTTCAACAAGAAATATCTGGTGTGCATGTCACCGATCAGACTTAGCAATGGAAGATGTGATGAGGTAATAATAATAATAATAAATTAATAATAATAAAATAATGATTACAATATTTCATTAGGAAGTCCACTCACAAAAGAGATTTTAAGTGAAGCCCTGAGCAAAAAAAGATAAAAAAATAAATTATAAGGCTATATTAATGTTAACATTTATAATGTCTTAGGTTGGTACCTGAACTGAAAATCTGGCTTTCCAATGTAACGGGAGTAGCTACTTATTACCGCACATCAGGCCTAAGGACTAAGGAGTTGAAGACCATAAAACCAGACATGAGAAGTTTTCCTCCTCATCATGAGGTAAGGTTTGCTCAACATCTTGTTCAACTTTGTGGAGCGATACTATTCAATTTAGATGGATGTTTAAAGCACTGGCAAAAGATTTGTGATGCTCCTCGAGAATATAATACCAAGGAGGTATCGTCTGCAAAAGGATTTTTAAAGTTGTGGCAACCAACAGGAGTGCAAGCATGGCTAACTGCTGTTATGGTGGACACATGCTGTATCTTCAGATATATTGAAAAAGAAGCCCAGAAGCCTGGCATTATCATTCCTGATATCTTGAAGTACAGAGATACTGCCTTGCAAAAACTTGATATAATGCAAACAGAGCCATATCCAGGTAAAATATATATAGTTAGTAAGTTACTTTGTTTATAGAAAACAAATTGAACTCACTCTTATTTGAGTTCTTTAACAAAGGTGTATTATTCATTACATTGTATGTTATTTTACTGCACATAGGTGGGCAGGAGGAGTTATTAACAAAGAAGATTGCAGAACTGCATCCAGAGAATGATGAAGCAGTGGATAATACACCAAGAAGGACACACAACACCAATGTGACAACGTTTCGTAGAGGAAAACAACCTATCAGGCAAGAGGTTATTGATTCTTCAAGGAATTTTCTCCAGGTAAAATGAGATAAATAGGTAATCTCATATCTGTTTAGCAATCAGGTCACACCATATAAAGTTTTTAATTACTATTACCTATATTTTTTATGTATATCATTATCATGTTTAGACCAGGCTCAACGAGGAACAAACAGAAATTGTAACAACCATTATCAACTTGACCTCAGCAAAACGTGCAATTGAATTCATCAACATTGCATTACCTCAACTTGAATCAAGTGGAATCAGTGATAAACAAGCATTTATTGATGCAGTTTTAGAAAATTTTACGGAAATGCTTCCTGATACACATATTCCTGCAAGAGACTATGGTGTGAGACTCTACCAAATGCTAAGGGGCAGCAAACAACCTGTGACCAAGTTTTTGTCAGGGTTTTGTGTTCTCTGCCCTCACAGTATGACGGTGGAAAGATGTGTGTCAACGTACAACATGTTATTCTCCAACCTGAGAATGGCCACATCTGAAAAAACACTGAATGATAGGCTATTGATTCACTGGAATGGAGTGCCAACATCTCAGTTTGACCCCAGTCCTATGGTGCAAGAATTTCTACAGAAAAAACAGAGGCGAATGAATCTTCCTAATCTGAGTTCATATGCGGAACGTGACTTCGTAAAGAAGTTTTTTACATCGGACTGCTGATTGATAGATTACATGTATATAGTGGTATACTGTATAGATGAGTTTCACTAGCTGCCTGGCAATTATATATAAGTGAGAAAAAGGTGTGTTGACAACTTGACATTATTTTCTAAATTTGACCATCATCTGCTGCCCTAGAGCGAAACCCATATTTAAGCTAGTAGCCGCAATTTTATAGACTTTAGTAGATTTTTTTCAGGTCCCCTTTTTACGTTATTTTTGGTCCCTTGGGAAAGATGTCCCACCCAGTTACATATCCTTAAAAGAGGCCCTGGAATATCGTTATGCTTACCTATACTTGTGGGTATAATGACAGGAAGACTGTAATTATTTGTGATAGGGAAAAATGCGAAAGTGCGTGAATACTCGCAAATCTTTAAATGGAATGCACGTTATTTGTTAATTTCACTCCACTCAAATAGGAAATTTTGCGATCATGCGCAATATTTATTCCGTTTCAAATTTCTCTCAGATAAAAATGTTCTAACTGAAAATTTGAAATGTTAATGACGAATGTTGTCAGGGCATGGAAGACGTTGTCCGGATGACGATAATTGACAGCGTAGTTTTCAAATATCATTTCATTAAAGCTGAATCTGCCTGATTAATCGTTGTGTGTAAACGTACCTTAACATGCATGCACATGTATGTAACACAAACCGTGCTTAAATCAAAGTTCTTGTTCTCATACATAATAGGTTGTTGTCTCATTTTTTCAGCTCACTCGTCGGTTAGACAGTTCTGTGTAGGTGTGGTGGTTTTAGTTTCTTCAAATGAACATAGAAACAAAACAATGTTATTCAAATAGAGCTACCAATGCTGGTACATATAGCATATAGAGTACAAAATATATTAAATTTACATGCAGAGAGGCTAGATTAAAAAGTAGAATTATACTATAGTTATATATAATTGATTTTTTTAATACTTGACTGCCATACAAAACTGACCCGGCCAACAGATTCATTGCAGTAATCATGTGCATACATTATAAACAATTGCAAGTCATGATTGTTATATAATACAACGAAACGAGTGATTTAGTTGGTTATTAAGCTTATACAGTGTGTATCAAAATAATTCGAATCCAAATTTGGCGTGTAATAACGCAGAATATATTTGACAAATTCGGTTGGTTTTTACACCATTGTTAAGTTCATTTATTTACCTTTCAAATGACATGCTGTACGCGTCATTTAGTTGGAAAATGAAGGAGTATTGCTTTGACAAAAAAAGTCCATAAGAATCACAATTTTCCGCCGATGGGAATTGGACATTTTTTCTTTCAAAGTTAGTCCCACAAGGCTTTGAAATGCTAATCATCACTCAAAACTAAAATGCAAATTTAACGCGAATTTCTTCTCGTTCAACATGTTGAAGGCATAGGAGCTTTTAAGCTCCTTTTGATTTAAAAATCTCTTTAAATGAACACGAATTTATGTAAATTTTGCTACATAACAGTTTGTTGATTAATTAAATTTGCATTATCTTTTGTTTGTACGTCTCACTTCGAATTCCCATCGGCGGAAAAATTTGATTTCGAGCAACCAGTTTTAACACACGATTTCTTGGTCATTTTTGATCTTATTGATATAAGAACGATATAATCGGAAACCTAATAGGCTATTCTTTATTGCCATATAAAAATTATATGGTTTACTTTAGTATTTTATAAACAGCAGTCTGTCAAATTTGGATTCGAATTATTTTGATACACACTGTAGATAAAATACTCTCTCAGATCAGCAATAGAACTTTCCACATTGTTTTTTTTTGAAGACATAACTATAAGTGATCATTATTTATAAAACTATATATAATTTTTTTATTGCATGTATTGCATGTCTTGCCGCAAATTATCCTCCTGCATCTAGTTTTAAGATTTTCACTGCCTTAGGTTGAAATACAAGATTTGAAGAATTGTATTACTTGATTGAACGGAGAGAAATAGACAGACGATCAAGAATAATTATTATATTGGGAAGAGTTATATTAGAAGAAATATAGAAATATTTTTTTGTGTTGGTGTAATGTAGACTATTGAATATGATATGCTTGTGATGTTACGAGGCAAGCTTGAAATATATGCCTGGCCACGGTAGAAATCGAACCAATGACCTTTGGAATACTAGTCCAATGCTCTGCCAACTGAGTTACGCGGTCAGGTCGGTTCGAGTATGTGATATTTCAGAACATAATCTAGTTTCTTCGATATCAATGGACTCTAGTATAATCATGATTTGTTTTATATTTAACAAATATAAAACATTTTCCATGTTGATATACAGTTATATCAACACGAGTGGAATTGGGAAAGCGAGAAATTGTATGTTTTCATACAATTTCGACTTTTCCCAACTTCCACGAGTGTTGATATAACTATATATATCAGTACGGAAAAAATGTTTTATATATTTTTTTATAATATAGCAATGTCAAAAGCCCGAAGGATAAGAAAAATTTCCGTGTTTACAAGCGGCAGAAAATTTCCCGTGTTGACATTGTGTTATATCAACACGGCTCTTAGCCAATCAGCGTTCAGAATTTACAAATGCTATATTATAAAAATAATTATAATATAGCATTTGTAAATTCTGAACGCTGATTGGCTAAGAGCCGTGTTGATATAATTCAATGTCAACAAGGAAACGTTGGAAAATTTCATTCTTTACATTTCTTTGTGCTGTATTTCTCCGCCCTTCGGGCGTCGTGTTTCCACACAATTTCTCGTTTTCCCAATTTCCACTCGTGTTGATATAACTGTATATCAACACGGAAATGTTTTATATTTGTTAAATATAATATAATTGTTTGTGAATCATGTGTATAGCTTAGTTATATTGAAATACTACAGAGCATTATATTTGCATTAAAAAAACTGCATGTGAAAATAATAAAACGATTGGAGTAACTGATTAGCTGAATTCATATTTTAAGACGAATTTTCGTCAAAGACGGAAACTTGTCTGACGGATTTCCGTCTGATATGAATATGAAACGAAAACCATCAGATGGATAAACTTAAAAAATATATCGGAAAACCTCAATCTCTTTTCAATTTAGCCAGCTGAAACCCTCGTGATTTATTCCTCTGATATAAATTTAATTAAGACAAGTTTTCCAACTAAGCGAAGCCTTTCGTTTAAATTAATCGGCTTTCCAGTCGTTCAGGCCGGGAAGTTCGACGGAAAAGTAGAGACGGAAATCCGTCGTTAAAGGCGAAATTATATTCTGCACGTGTTTCTCCATTTAGACGAGTTTCTCGTCTCAGACGGAAATCCGTCTTCCATTT